CTCTGAGAGCGCGCGCTCGGGAGGGAAAGTGACCGGTGTGAACTGAAGCCGGGGGCTCGGCCCGCTGGAGGGACGGGAATGGATCCAGAGCGGCAAGATGCGACCGTGCGAACTTCGTGAGTTCAGCAAAGCCAAGTGCAAGGTCCTGCCCTGGGTCGGGGCAATCCCAGCAGAAGCACAGGCTGGGGGAGAGCAGACGGGGCAGCCCTGACAAGAAGGACTTGGGACCCCCCCGCAGTCCTGGGTCCAGCTCTGGGGCAACAGCGCAAGAGGGATGTGGAGATGTTGGAGTGAGTCCAGAGGAGGCCACGGAGCTGCTGCGAGGGGGAAGCCCAGAGGCATCCACGGCTTTGGGATGTGCAGTCCCAGCAACCGCTTTCCAGCTGTGGTCCAGCACATACCCCCGAGGTTGCTGTCAGCTGCCTCCCAGGGAGCATAGTTGGGTTTCTATAACCCATAAGAACTCTCATGGTTTATAGCAGAAAAAAGGTCTAAATGAACTTACGAGTTTAAAAACATTTATTTAATGTGAGGTTTCTTACTTGACAAATATACAAGTTGGGGAAGGTTTAGCAAAGTAAACAACAATTTAACAAACAGTGATTACACGCAGGGCTGCTTTTGTTCAGCAGTTACAGTTCCTCGTTACAGTACTGCATACGAAGGCTGGAGGAAGTGTCTGGTTTTGGGCTTGGGCAGTGCCATGATGCCCAGCTTCCCAGCAGCTCCCTGCGTGGTGCTGAGGCCCTGCCATGCTGCACTGCTGCTGGATGGGGCCGGGGCCTTGGAGCTGAGCGGCCTCTTGGTCCTTCTGTACTTGCTGTAGCCACTGTGGAATGGAGAGAGCCCAGACATGCGTCAGATCCACTTGACCTGCCCCGTTCCCTCCACCCCTCGTGTACTCGGACACCACCATTAGATTTTCTAGAAGTCTGTCCAGTCAGTTCCTTGCTGTGCAAGGCAGGCTGAGCACAGCAAACCCTCAAAAGGCATGACTGATAACCCCAGACAAGAGCTTACTGCCCAACTTTTCTAATGTGTGTACCCCCTGTTTTGAAAGAGGGCACAATTTCTCCAACTGCTTCTCCTTTTTCGTTTGTTCCCTTTCAGCACCAATTAATCATCATGTTTTGATCATGAACCTTCAGCACAAGCTGCTGCTACTTGAGTTACCAGACTAATAACTACATAAACTGCTAAAAATAAGGTGACTGCTCAACGGATGAGCCCAGCCTGGCTCCTCCATCACCCTGCAGTAGCTCGGTGGTAGATCTACCCTAGAAGCTCAAGACCAACCAGAAATTCAGTGCCACTACTTAGCTTGTGGCAGGCAAGTGAGAAACAAAAGGACAATTGTTAATATCCTCCTCACCATGAGCTTTTTAAACAAAAATGATGGAAAAACCAAAGCAGAGGAGTTGGTATCAGGAACCTGGATAATTCCAGTGCCATCCTTAAAGCCCACACTCCCAGAAACACCATAGGGTAACAGCACAACTCTGGGATCATCATTCTGCTGTTCTGGGCAAACAACAGTTACAGATGACCACAAGCAACGTACCCTCTGTGCTGGAACTGCTGGCCACCACCATTAGTTGTCCTTTTCCTCTTGGATTCTTTGAAGTTTGGTGGCCTTTTTCTTTTCCTTCTTTGGTTTGTGTTATTGCAAAAATAGGTTGAGGTTGTCCCTTCATCTGCCTCTTCATCACTCCCTTGTGTGCCAGCACTTCCCGGGGCTGTGTCCACACTTTGGCCACCAGCATCTTCTATGGACAAACACGAGTTAAAATAAAATCAAGATACTGCCTGAGCCCATCATAACACAGTGACTGCACCAAAACATCTGTCCTTGCTGTTCACAATCTCCTTTGCACTGCCTAAAGGTGTTTAACTCCCAGTAACTAACAGGTTAGAAGCAGAGCAGGAAGCCTGGTTCCCATGTTCCTTTCTTAATTTTTCAGAGATAGGCTGAATTTAGTGAGAAGATAGCAAAGACCTTTGTACGCTCTGAAAGTGTGCAATTGCTCCCTTTTTGTAATTACTCAACTGTAAGAATGAGTTAAGTTCTAGTAAGAATTAGTTGTTTGTATTTAAAACAAGGTAACTTTCAAGAGAAACTTCTGATAGAGAAGGGTACTCGGCAGGAAAGCCCACTTTAGGTACAAGGCATACTAAACCTGGTGTGGTCCATTCAGAGTACTTCTCCATCACTTTAATTATCTCTGCACCGTATTTTTCCAGCTTGTCTTCTGTGACACCATCAATCTGCAGTAAAACCTCTGCATCAGAAGACAAGGATTCTGCAAAGTAACAAGGTACCGATTAGACACATCAAACACAGTCAATTTTTAAAGAGATCGGGGTAGAGTATTCTGGAGGAAATTAACTCCTCTGAGTGCCACCCTATGTGTGAAGTGCTCCAGGAAGGAAGCCTTTATTCTAGCAGATTTCTAGGTGCTTAGCACAAAAACTGCTCCAACAGTTGTCTCCCCAATGCTTCAAGGTTTGCACTGCAGGACGTTCGCACCAAGGTTGCGCTTGGTTCTTCTCCAGCAGTGCTGCTGCAGCTCCTCAAACCTGCTCTGCATCAGGTGGTCCCCAGGGCTCACCCGGCTGCATCACACCCCCCTGAACCTGCTTCCACTAAGGTGAGGGATGCAGGTTCCCTGTCACACACACGCTGCTGCCAGCAGGGTCCCCAAGCACCCAGGAGCTGACATTACCCACGTTACCTGCGATTTTCTTCAGCGTCAAAGTACTGAAAATATTGAAGTAATGCACATCAAAGACCTTCCCAAGTGTTTTGCAGGTGTCTGTGAGCTCACTGAGGCACTTCTTGACCATCTCTTCCCGCTGTGACATTTTTGCCATGGAGGCCCTTTGCTTTCTGATGGCACTGGCACTTTCTGTTTCATGGAACTCCACCTGAAAAAAGCAGCCAATCGATCACCTCTGCCCAGGGAGTTACTGCAGAGCCACCATTAGGAGACTGATAACACACAAATACAAAGGAAACATGGTAACAAGGAAGCCAAAAGTGTTCTTTGATGGGCCAAGGACAGTTGTTGACCCACTTTTTAAATGATTTCTTTTACAAGCTATCCAAGTGCCCCCAAGTTTCTTCTGCAAAGAGGTACCAGAATACACACAACACAGGGAAGAAACCCTGAGAAGCCAGCTCTCAGCTAGCCTTACACAGAGGTCACTAGGCCTAATGCTGAGGGTTCTCCTCCAAGCACAGCACTAATGCAGAGGAGACACTGGCTCAGGCAGTTCTGGGACTGGTTCCATGACCTTCTTGAAGTGCATTTTCCATCATTGCTCACCAGTGACTAGTCAAAAATAGAGCAGAAAATGCAGAGGGTAGCACTGCTCCTTCTCTTCTTCTTGGGTAGCTGTTCAGTGTTGGTCAAAGCTCTCCTTTCTTGTCAACTGGAATCAAGATGGATGGGGGGAGAAGAGAAAGATTTAATCCTCTCCAACTCACCTTTTGCCTCACATTACTATTAGAATGCTGGACTAGAAACCATGCTTGCAGGATTCTATTCCCTGCATCTAGTGATGATTAGTTCTGTACTTCAGCTGGCAGGCAAACCATGTCTGAACTATGCTGGGGTGGGTGCTGCATAGAACTGTAGCATGTTCCTTCAAACCATGCATTCAAGAAACTAAACCCCTGTTACTTACCTGTAGTGATCCATCTAGCACAACCTGGGCTTTCTCTCCCAGAATTACATAGGCCACGGCTTGGTCATTAGCTGTGATATACAGGTCTTCATCCAGGATCTTGTCCAGGACCAGTTTTCTAAACAGCCTTTCCACATTATGCCTTGAGTAGGCAGCTCCCTTCCCAAATATTCCAGACTGAATCTTCGCACTTGCTGTACCTGTGTGACAGAGATCCCAGGATCAGCCTGTGATTGGGAAGCCTACGTGTGGATGTACGTGTTTACAGACACACCTGTGGAAGATTCCCAAGGGTATTCCATAGTCTGTGCACACAGAAAACTGCATTTAAGCACCAAAAACTCAGAGCACCACCAGAAAACTAATATGATCACTATAGCAATTGAAATGGGTTAAAGCTTTAGTCTCAGTTATTTTGGATCATTTACCAGCAAGAGATTCCTGGAAAGGATAATTCTGCAAAACAGATCTTCCTTTAACCACTGCTGGCATTGCACAGACTCCCAGTGCCCCGGAGGGAAGCCTGCACTTACCTAGGAAAATGTCTACCATCATGTTCAAGGTGTATCTCCCAGAACCTGCGTTTCTCTTTGCATTTGCTCGTCCGTTTTGTCCACAATGCTCTCGTACAAATCTTATAATGCTCTTCACTTCATCTGTTACATCCCTTGATTTGTAATCCTGTTAAAATAGACTTGATTAGGAACCACTTTAGGTGGTTCTGACCTAACACAGTCATTCCTGACAACCTGGGGTTTTGTTACTGAGCTTTTTCCAGTCACGAATTCATTTTGTTCCAAGCAGAGAAACAGCATTTTTCTACACCTACAGTGACACCAGGTAGTCACAGGAATTCTGGGCTTGATCATCCTCTGGATGATGAAGTAATACACACCACCAGATTGTAAATAACCTCTGAGGTGTTAATTCTAGAGAGTGAGCTGCAAGGCTGCAGCTGAACACTGGTAATCAAAGTAATTCATTTGAAAGCATTCCTGTAATTATTCTGTTGTCACGCACCAGATCTTACACTTCCAATATGGATTAAAATGAGAAGACTGGACTGAAAATGCATTATTCTAGTCAAACCAAACCTTGTTAGAATCACAGCCACTTAAGGTAATGCTTCAAACACAGAAGCGAGAATCAATTTCATCAGGTACAAAACTGATCTGGTTTAGAAAGCAGCGTCCCTTCCCCATCTGCTTCCACAGCTCTCTTCAGTTCTACTCCTGCTCATGCCACTAACAAGTCTACTTCAATCCTAGGAACATAAACCCTAATCTTTGGGCCACCTTGAGCAGTGCACTCCTCCTAACCTGGCACTCGTGCTACTTGGGCAGCACAAAGCTGCCCTGAAATCATCAGAGCGGGTGGTCCAGGGATTTCCCCATAGCTATTCCAGTGGATCTTCTATTCGCTCTGCCTCCCGCAAGCGTTGCAGCCGAGAAACCAACATAAGGAACATCCTTGCACCTCACTAGTCCTGCTCTGACAGAAATAGCATTGTAAGCCCATGGATAGTCTACTATCTGTGTAGAGCATCATCTACTGTCTAATTCTATTCTAGGTTAAACCCTGGAAATAACTTGGAACAACACAAAAATAGAAGACATCTTACTAGATTTTCTCCATTTGCCTTCATAAATGTCATGTAACCATTTTTTAACACAGCTAAATGCAAAACCACTATAAATAAGAGCTATGATTTTTACCTTCTTCCTGCTGCAGTTATCACAGATTACTTCTGGGTGATCTTTACAGAAGGTGGGATTAAAATCAGTTTCCCCAAAGTAGGCCAAAAGCTGGATTCTCCGGCAGTCCACCACGTTCTCGCAGTAGTGAACCATGCTGTACAGGTTGTTGAAGTGGGTCTGCCTCGTGTGGCTGTTCCCATCTTTCTCCACTGAAATGCAACAAATTCAGTTGTATTTATTATATCTGCAACCCTTCATTTTTATGTATTATCAGATAGAGAAAAAACAATATTCTTTTTTGCTTAAAAAAGATGAGTAAGTTAGTACAGAACTAACCGAGGACAGACTTTACCTCTAAGGTGTAAAGAATGAAGACAGGAAATGACACCAGAACAGCAAGAATCAAGAGACAGATATGTATGAAGCAAAAGTGTTTTGGCTAAAATTAAGTGCAAGTGACAATCAGTCTTTTGTTACAGGACACCACTCAGGTAAAGATGCAGAGTTCCTCCCTCTGTGCAACTCTACACATGGCACTTCTAAACGAGGAAGTAACAGGGTCTAAAGGGAAACAGTGACTAAGCGACTTCTTCAGCACCGTGTCCATTAGGTTATAACCAGAACTCACTCAGGATTAGCCTCCGCAGTCTGGTGACATCGCTGTAGCTGTAGAAGAGGACACAGTGGGACATCTCCCCATCCCGCCCAGCTCTGCCAGACTCCTGGTAGTAACCTTCTATGGACTTAGGAAGAGAGGCGTGGATAACGTAGCGCACGTCAGGCTTGTCGATTCCCATTCCAAAGGCAATTGTTGCACATATAACCTAGGAAGGACATACTTTGTTACACAGAGTTATGAAGTTATTCATGCAGCACTCCACAGCAAAACCAGACAGGCCATCAGGATTATGAAATAGTGCAGAACCCCGAATTTCATTGTAATACTGCACGGTGAGTCCAAACCAGCAAAACCACCTCTCCTTTCAGAGACCTGTTCCAGGCAAAGGGAAAATTCCACATTTGAGTCTCAATATATGATTCAGCAGCATGCCTAGAGGTGTTTCAGGAGCCTTGTGCTGCTCAGTTCCTTCCTGCTGGAGGATCACACCTCGGTGCAGTGCTGCAGTCTTTGACCTGCAGAACTCCCAGAACAAAGACTGCTGATGTGTCCTGGCAGATCCGCTCCGATCAGCTATTTCATACTGCATCCCATATGGCACTGACATTACCCAGCTTCACTTCCATTTCCTAGGCCAAGAGGCACAGAAGTGCTCTGAATTCTACTGCTTTTTTACCTGGCATCCCTCTTGGTTAATCCACTTCTTCTGCACGAGATCCCTGTTGGAGTCGGTGAGGCCAGCGTGATAGGCAAGTGCAGCGAGACCCTCCTTCTGCAGAATGGCTGCTGTGGTGTCACACTCGTGTCGGGAAAGGCAATATATTATCCCAGAGTCATCTGCAAACACATAAAAATGATGTGTGCTACAGCACAGCTTCATTCCCTTTCACTTGCTTAAGTCATACCTGACAAGCAAATACTTTTATTCCAGTAGGGAGAGGTTGGAGAGTGTAATGCAAGAACTGCTTAATAAAGTAATTTTATTAATATCAGGTGCCTGTGTCAGTTTATCCTCACCCAATTTCCTGGTTTTTTGGATCAAGAGAAGTTTTCCTGCTCGGTACTGAGCAATCTTAGAATTTAAAACACATCGATCAAGAGCTAGAGCAGTTTAGGAAACGATGCACTAAGTTACAGCACTAGAGAAGCTGTGAGGGGAGCTGGGTGCAGTCAACCCAGCAGCAGGAGCTGCAAGACTCCAGAAGGGAGCCTGGAAAAATTGGCATCTCTGAAGGTATCTTCAAGGGGAACCATAGATAAGCAGATCAACAGAATTAAGCAATTAAACAGTATGACATGAGATCACCTTTCTGTGCTGAAGACATGATGCTAAAAGGTCTGGCAACCTCCAGAAAGATTACTCATGGAATTACCATAATTCACTTTTCCATCTTAACTTGAACTCTTGTCTTTAGTATACCCATAAATCCAGATCCCATTAGCACTAATATCATTCTGCCTCCAACTTGGTTTTCTTGTAAATATACAAGTTGTTTACAGAAAGGCACAAGTTTGGGGGTTTTAAAGCGTTAGAAAAGGTTTTCCTGCCTTGAGAAGCAGTTCATGGATTGCCTGCAAGCACACTGTGCTGCTCAGTACTCACATGGATGATATTTCTTAATCCATTCCAAGCAATCCATTGCCACCTTCTTTGGCTTCTTGGGCAATACATCATATTTCAAGTTATGCCTGTTGAAGCTCATTGTAAACCTAAAACACAACAGTTCATGGGTGCTTATCAGCTCTATGGGTGCAGCAATCCTTTCAACAAGCGAGGTACTGACTGGAACATCCCAAATCCAACTGACTGCTACTTGTTCTGCAGTGTCTGCAAAGGAATGGTGGTTCCACTATGCCCACAGAGATTGACATTGCCCATACTTTCAGGCTAAAATTCCTGGATTTTCTCATGGCTGTGAAAAAACACAGCTACATGGCACTGTGGAGAAGGAAGAAACACCCATAAACCAAACACACACTGATTTGTCTTGCCTTCATTTCCCTCTTGAATGATACTAGCATCCACATTTGACTGACCAGATCTGCAAAATGCAGCATCACCTCCCTCTTCTACCCTAAAATACAGCATAAAATCCACAAACCAGAGTGTTTTATTTTCCCACCGTGTACCATGAAAACACCACAATGCCTCCAGGCCCAGCGGAACCTCATTATCTCTGTTACTGCCAACGCTAATTAAAAACCACTTCAATGCTTGCAGTTTTCCAGCAGTCCCACGAAAAACACCCTAAAATACAATGTGCACCTTTTGTCAGTGACACGGAAAATTTCATAACGTTGTTTTCTATTAAACAACTTCCTCAGTCACGCAAGGAAGAGTTTGGCAAGTTGCTTCCTTCCTACTTTAATATTTTGCATATAACTCACATTCGATTCCATGCACACATTCTCATCAGAACAACTGCTCCGGTGTTTCAGATGGGCCTGTGATGCTTTTCTTACTTTACTAAGTTTTCTACTCAACATTCCTCTGGCACAAATAGCTTCAGGAAACTGCTGAGCAACTTACACTTGTGGCTTTAGCATCTCAAGCTGATTCTGGATATCCTTTTGCACTCTGGGGTTGGCAGTGGCAGTAAGGGCCATCATGGGAACAGCGTGAAACTTCCTGCGGAGCATGTTCAGTCTCTTGTAGTCTTGTCGAAAGTCGTGACCCCACTCAAAAACAGAATTCAAGTGTAACTCAGTTGGATGCTCCAGGCGAGTCTTTTGCCATCTTGCAAACCAAGCCAACGTTCTTACCTGGCTGACACAGTGGGCCTCATCGATGACAAACCGTGCTAGGAGCTTCCTGTTGTAGAGGTTCTCCAGGGCTGACATCAGTCGGCTGCTCGCACAGACCTAGGTTCACATCCACCAGTGGCATTAGAGAGCAACCAAAGGGAGCAAAGTGTCCCCCCACCTGACTACAAACACAGAAACAACTGCTCTGTGCAGCAAAGTTAATCCTGACTCCACAGGTGAAGCCACAAGGCATAATGAAGATGGAATGAGCTTCATTTTAATTAGCAGTGATGCAGCTGGTGTGGGATTACACAAGGTTCTGGGATCATCTATCCAGAAGCCTCACAATCCAAGTAAATTTAAATGGCTCATGTCACGAAATACAGGGAAAGACAATGCTGAGGAAAGAAATGCAATTAGCACACTGAACAGTCCCCTCCTACAAAGCTCTTGTGGGATAATACGGTTTTAAACACAGCATATAATTAAGTACAAGGCAATCTTCCGACAACCACACATTACCTTGGCAGTTACATATATTTTCCTTGTACTATTCTACTCGTAGTAGTTTAGATACTAACAGCTACGTGACAGCAGTTAGCCACTAATGTGTAGCAAGATGCACTGAAATGGATGGGCATGGGGGTTCCTTTAAGGATTTAGATTCTACAGACATCTCGGTTCTTATTCTTGGTTTATCACTGATTGAGATGAGTTACATCTGTACAGACTCTTACTGAACTTCCTAACAATGTGTAACAGTTCTTCCCCCCAGAAGCCCGCTCTAAGGTCAGTGTTTCCCCTTGAATACTTCATAGCAACCCCTCCTCTTGCTGCCTCCACGGTTTTAGAGTTCCCATTGAATACAAACCTTCTCAGGGGTGACATACAGGAGCTTTATCACAGGATCTTTTTTTGACAGTTGCATGTATATTTGGGAGGCATCAGCATCTGTTCTATCACCAGTCAGGTATGTTGCAGCAATCTAGATTGAAAAAAGATATCAAGTTTGAATAGGTGCAGAGGAACTTCCAAAAACAGTCCTACATCTAGTTATAAACCCCTTCAGTTTTGCCCTAAAACGTATTAGCCACCTTTGGTTCCCTGGTGTCTCAACCTCAGTAATAAACTAAGGATGAAAAAGACACTTCACTGAGGCAAAATAAAACTAAATACAACACTCAGAACCTAAAAATCGGGCATCTATACTTCAGAACTAGGCTTCAATAACAAATAGACATGAGCATCAGTAAATTTAGCGGTTAGACTGCCAAGATATTCTAGTTCATCTAATTTAGCTCTTGCCAGACAACCTTGTGTGCCTGTTACTGTTCCCATTTAACCAATTTTTGCAGTTCATATTTGAGACACATAAGATTTGCTGTAAAATCTCAGATTTCCAATGCACTTACCTGCACTTTAACTAAATAAAGATGTTTGAACTTACATCTAAAGTCTTCAGTTTCTGAACCTGGTCTATTATCAGCGACCTCAGTGGAGAGATAACAATAGTGACTCCAGCAGAGACACACGCTGGTAACTGGTAGCACAAGCTTTTACCACCACCTGTGAGGATTAAACAGAGCACAACATGTGCTAGATATCCAGAGGAAAGGGAAGGATGTGGGGAAGAGGAGAGACCTATTTCTTACTTCCCATTTTAAAGCACTTTCAGAAACAATAAACTTTTACCAGTGACTGCCTCTAATGGGGTACCGGTAGGATAAAGAAAAACTATCATGTGAAATACTCTGGAAGGCAGAAATTCAATCACCTCATTCAAAACACCACAGCACACAGTGTTCCAGAAATCCTGCAGCCACAGAATTCAAGCAGGACAATGTACCACTACCACCACAGAGGCACAGAGAAAGGTTTGCCACAGGCCTTGCAAAAGGAGCTTCGGGTCTTTATTTCCCAAGCGTGTGCACACTGTGTGATGGTTGCAGATTACGTACCAGTGGGCATTAAGATGAAACAGTCTTCACCCAGAAGAGCAGCGTTGATGGCCTCCAGCTGGTTTGTCCTGAAGCAGTGCAGCCCAAACTTCTTGTGAAATATAGTCATCATTTCTTCAGAATGGGAAAATTTCAGACCCCTGAAACGCTCCAGTGCAGGGTTAACAACTGCCGGACCTACAGACAAAGAAAATGTTCTTACAGGGAGTCACAATGGCAAGTTGTGTCCCTCTTGCAACACAAATCTGCTCCCCTGTGAGGGTGCTGAGGCGCTGGCACAGGGTGCCCAGAGAAGCTGTGGCTGCCCCATCCCTGGCAGTGTTCAAGGCCAGGTTGGACACAGGGGCTTTTGGAGCAACCTGCTCTAGTGGAAGGTGTCCCTGCCCGTGGCAGGGGATGGAACTGGAAGAGTTTTAAGGTTTCTGCCAACCCAAACCATCCTTTGATAACAGATCACTTTGCCACCACTTCCACCCTTTAAACCTTTTAAACTCAAATCATGACTTACTAAGAAGTGGGTATCCAAGGGGAGGTGCCAGCTGAACGAGTGACAGAGAAGCTAGTAAAATGGGTTAACATTTTCACCTCCCCTTTTACCAACCCACCCCTGCAGTAACCACAAGTAACACTGACCCACCCCGGGGCCCCAGGGGGATCAGGCTGCCTTCAGCAAGTGCCCATTTGTGAACATTTTGCACAAACAGCTAAAACTGTTGTATAGCTTTGAATTAACAACTGCAGGATCATTCCTTAATTAGAACACAGGAAGGTGCTAGTTTCCAGTTTCAGCAGCTTCACCTTCCCAGCAGCCTGCAACCTGCACGGCCAGTGGGTATTCAAGAAGTTTGGCATCACTTAGGGGCAAAAAAGCCCCACCCAGAAGATGACTTTGCAAAAAGAAACTGAGAGAAATGTCCACAGAAACAAAAGGCATCGATATAACCTACAGGAAGTTACTTGGCCTTAGTAAATCAAGTACATCCAGATTTAAAAAGGGAAAGACAGCCACCCCGATGTACATAATCTACCTGAGCAGTTCTTTGTTGTCATCAAGGAGCTTGACTTGGGAGCAGCAGGATTTGATACAACAGCAGATCCCTTGGCCCTGGACGTTATCTTTGAGAGCAGCGATTTGGCAGGTGGCCCTTCCCTGATGGGCTGGTACGACGGCGTGGATGGACCCTTTGGTGCCGACACATCCACCACGTCCTCCCAGCCCTCATCAAAATCATCAATATCGAAGGGGTCCAGGTCAAAGTCATCGTTTATACCTGAAGTGTCTTCTGTGGGAACGTCAGTGGGAGCCTTACTCTGCCCCTTCAGAGCAGTGCTTGTAAGAGGCCTCTGCAGCAAAGGGTGGATTCCGCTGTTCCTCACCCCTGGGCGCTCACAGCAGGAGCTGTTGAGGGTCACCTCAGGATGGAGGCTGAGGGAAGCTCCCTTTGCACCATTCACCCTGGAGGAAGACAGCCCCGTGGTGCCTGGGCAGGTGATCTCCTCAACACTTTGCTTTGAAGCACAAGAGGTATCCAAGGTTTGATTTCTGGGCGTAGAAAACTTGCTTGAATGAGCAGAACCGAGCAGCAGGGATGGGGGGTTTGTGGCTCTGGGCGAGTTGCTGTCAGAACAGAAGCTCCAGCTGAGGCCAGGACATGGTGCAGCACCAGGACATGGGGGAGGGCCCCGCTCCACAGGCACCTGCCAGGCTCTGGGAAAGCTGCATTTGAAGCTACTTTTGTTCAAACCAACAGAACTAGCGAGCAGTTTTCTCCTGGGAGAGATGTCAAGGGAAGGAAGAAGAGAGAAAGGAGATAGTCACAAGCAATGACTTCTCAAGTTCTACAACATACATTAAACAGTTCTAGTCTCTCTCCTATTCAAAATATTACCATATGGTGGTTCCCTCGGATTCTGTGTCACTGGATTTTAGAAATATTTCGAACAAACCCAGAGAAGAGAGAATAACACCAGAGCTCAGCTGAGCAAAATATTTACAAGATTACTACATCTTTTCTGCAGATGTAAAAGGAAAGAATTCCCCAAAGCAAGGGACTGACCAGGCAGGGTACGGCACTGAAAATCACAGCCCTTCGAGGCACAAACCTGAAGTTAATAAAGTAAAAATATGCTTGAACCAAATTATAGGTTTATGTACTTTCTAACGACTGTGTCTGTGGTAATAAGGGGAAACAGAATTAGTTCTACTCAGAATGTTCAGAAAAAGCACACAGTTGCAGCCCAGTAAAAAACACCACCTCTGTATTTTGATGTGTTGTGTCATCAGACGCTGCAGAAGTTAAAGCAGCAGATTCAGTAGCAATAACCAGATTGAAAGGTGACAAGCACAGGGATATGAGGAGGAGTCAATCACTGTAGCCAGTGACAGTGAGTCGATATTAAATTAATGCATCTGGTTATGAGAGCACCAAGCAGATTCTGTCACCTCACCCTGCTGCTTTGGAAGCAGCGGTGCAGGTCACCTTCCAGAGAAGGGATACTGCACTCCCCCCGCTCAGACTGGACATGGAAGTGCATCCTTTCTTCCAGCAGAACACCAGGATCAGTAACACTTCCAGCAGTTCGGGTATGTTCTTCCCTTCATTCGCTCGGTGATTTCAAGCCTTTTCGAACTCCTGCTGCCCTGTGGTCGGTGCGGTGGGGACACCTGCAGGCAGGCACCGCTGAGCGCCCAGCAGCCCAAGCTCACTGAAGCCTACCTGAGGTCTCGCTTCTGGAGAAGGTCTTTAGCACATGACAGAGACTTGAGCTCCTGCAGTGGAATGGCCTCTACCAGCTTACAGATCTCCTCCATGACGCCGTAGAGCTGCTGTTCCAGAGGCAAGCCTTTATCTGCTGGATGGAGGGATTTCAGCAGACAGTAGTACTCCAATATGTAACAAGGTGACATCACTCTCCCAAAAGACGGTAAATTGCAATAAATGAGTCTAAGTAATTTACTTTCCAAATATTTTTTAAAGTCTATTTGCATGAAGGAACTCTTCCTGTGTGCATGAACTCACCTCATCTACACACCTTTGCCTTTACATTACCCATCTATACTTATTTTCCAACCTTGCCACAGTTCTTTCAAACTTACTTCCAAAAGAACTTACACAGCGTACACAGGAGAACAGTTAGATACAAACCACCCCCAAAATCGAGGGCATAAAATTTCCAAAGGCTTCACGTACCTGCATCCTCCACCCCAGGATCTCTCCCAGCAACAGGCTGTGTTGGGGCAGCAGCCCCAGGCACGACGCTGCCCTCTGTGGATCTTCCACCAGTGGGAGATTCTTTGCAAACACTACTAACATCAAAAGAAGAAGTCACTAAAATACAGGTATCTGTTATCACGGCATTTCCGTGACAGAAGTTTACCTTTTAGAATAACAGCACTGCAGGTGTGTGTAAAAGACCAAGACGTTTCTGAACCCCCAGTTAAAACCCAAGCAGCTGGGCAGTGTGCCACTCATCTGTGTGCCGACATGTAGACTTGCTTCAACAATGCTTTTTCCCTCCCACTACAAAAGGAAAAACAACTCTGCTTTTCCTGAAAACAAACCACCTTAAACATTGGCCATAAAGAGAAGTATTTCATACACCATTCATAGGCTGTCTGTGGCAACAGGCACAACCAGCTCAGCCCGTGGCTCTTCAACAAGCACTAGTTTCACGTCTTTTTTGGTGCTTTTTAAAATCACCCCACAGACAGCCAGCTTTATCCATGAGCTTTGTTTCACCTGATGCTCTTCACAGAAGGCAAGAAGGACGGCAGCTCTTCCTCAGGGGACGGGGGAATCACGTCCAGGTCATCGTCCTCCCCGAGCTCAGCGCCTGCGAGTGCCAGGAGCTCGGCCTCATCCAGCTTGGGGGGGCTCTTCTCATCGCTGCGAGGCTTCTGGCTGCCTCCACTTATACCAGCAGCAGCTGAAAGTGTAGTAACATTGCTGGTAACAGGGTACACTCGTTCTGGTATGAACGAAAACGCAACAGAGAAAGAATAACAGCCATACAAGGTGATTTTATGTCTCTTGCACGAAGTGCCAGGAGCTCGGCCTCATCCAGCTTGGGGGGGCTCTTCTCATCGCTGCGAGGCTTCTGGCTGCCTCCACTTATACCAGCAGCAGCTGAAAGTGTAGTAACATTGCTGGTAACAGGGTACACTCGTTCTGGTATGAACGAAAACGCAACAGAGAAAGAATAACAGCCATACAAGGTGATTTTATGTCTCTTGCACGAATTTTAAAAGTGCTTTTCTTTCTATAACGCATCTCTGATCTAGCGGCTGTCGCTGTTGGTTTCTGGAATGCCATATGGGAAGTCCTGAAAATCAGCCCTACCACGGGCCGGCTGCGCAGAGCACACGCTGCCACCGGCAGCCCTGCC